ATCTGTCCTTTGGAATGAGTGGTGTGTTGAAGTCTCCTAAAATGAATGCATTGCATTCTATTTCATCCTTTAATTATGTTAGTATTTGTTTCACAAATGTTGGTGCTCCTGTGTTGGGTGCATATATATTTATAATGGTTATATTCTCTTGTTGGACTGACCCCTTTGTCATTATGTAATGTCCTTTATCTCGTTACTTTCTTTGTTTTGAAATCTGTTTTGTCTGAAAGAAGTACTGCAACACCTGCTTTTTTCTCCTTATTGTCTACATGAAATATCTTTTTCTATCCCTTGACTTTTAGTCTGTGTATGTGTTTGGGTTTGAGGTGAGTCTCTTGTAGGCAGCATATAGATGGGTCTTGCTTTTTTATCCATTCTGTTCCTGTGTGTCTTTTGATTGATGCATTCAGTTCATTTACATTTAGGGTGATTATCGATAGATATGTACTTATTGCAATTGCAGGCTTTGGATTTCTGGTTACCAATGGTTCACGGGTAGCTTCTTTATTATCTAACCATCTAACTTAACTATCTTATTAAGCTATTATAAACACAGTCTGATGATTCTTTCTCTCCCTTTTTATTCTTCCTCTTCCATTCTTTATATGTTAGGTGCTTTATTCTGTACTCTTTTGTGTTTCCTTTGACTGCTTTGTGGATAGTTGATTTTATTTTTTGCCTTAGTTAGTATTTGGTTGGTCTGCTTTCTTTGCTGTGACTTTATTTTTTCTGGTGACATCTATTTAGCCTTAGGAGTGCTTCTATCTAGAGCAGTCCCTTTAAAATATCCTGTAGAGGTGGTTTGTGGGAGGCAAATTCCCACAACTTTTGCTTGTTTGGGAATTGTTTAATCACTCCTTTGTATTTAAATGATAATCGTGCTGGATACAGTATTCTTGGTTCAAAGCCCTTCTGTTTCATTGCATTAAATATATCATGCCATTGTCTTCTGGCCTGTAAGGTTTCTGGTGAGAAGTCTGATGATAGCCTGATGAGTTTTCCTTTGTAGGTGATCTTTTTTCTCTCTCTGACTGCCTAATTTAATACTCTGTCCTTGTCTTTGATCTTTGCCATTTTAATCATTATATGTCTTGGTGTTGTCCTCCTTGGGTCCCATGTGTTGGGAGATCTGTGGGCTTCCATGGACTGAGAGAGTATTTCCTTCCTCAGCTTGGGGAAGTTTTCAGCAATTATTTTTTCAAAGACACTTTCTATCCCTTTTTCTCTCTCTTCTTCTTCTGGTACCCCTAAAATGCAAATATTGTTCCTTTTGGATTGGTCACACAGTTCTCTTAAGATTTTTCATTCCTAGAGATCCTTTTATCTCTGTCTGCCTCAGCTTCTCTCTATTCATGCTCTCTGATTTCTATTCCATCAACAGTCTCTTGCACCTCATCCAGTCTGCTCTTAAGACCTTCTACCGATTGTTTCATTTCTGTTATCTCCCTCCAGACTTCATCCCTTAGGTCTTGCATATTTCTCTGCAGGTCTGTCAGCATGGTTATGACTTTTATTTTTAAGTCTTTTTCAGGAAGATTGGTTATATGTATCTCAGCAGGCCCTCTCTGCAGGGTTGTCTGAGTGATTTTTGACTGGACTAGATTCTTTTGCCTTTTCATGGTGACAGAAGTGGTTGTAGGCAGGTGGCGCATGTGTCAGCTGGGAGAACAACATCCCTTCCTGCTTGCTGGTTGCCTTGCCCTTCTCCGCTGCCTGTGTCGGTTACTCGCACACAGGGAGTAGTCTCTGGGATAATCTCCTGAGTTGCTGTGGGCGGGGCATCCCTCAGGATAGCCTAGAGGCCTTTGTGGGGTCACAGTCATGCTGGGTGTGTTCTCCTGTGAGAACGGTGCCCCTTCATGCCTTCCGCACCTTGCTCAGGCTTTCTCTGTGTTGGGCAGTTGCATGCCGGTGGCAGCCTCTGGATCTGTCCCGGTAATCTATGTGCTGGGAGAAGCCTCTGTGTGGTTGCTGTGGGCAGGGCTGTTCTCCGGCTGCTCTGCAGCTATGGCGGGTCAGCTGGTTTGCTTGCAGTGTTGGCCAGGGAGAATGAATGGCAGGCTGCTTATCACCGTGAGGGGGGCTTCAGGGGTGTGTTAACCCCCCAGGGGGAAGGGCGCCTGAAGTTCCTTAAGATTCCCAGCCTGCTGGGCTGAGGTGTGCCAGGATGATTTTGTCCAGCTGTTAAGCCCTTGTCCCTTTAAGACTTTAAAAAAGTGTCCACTTTTCTTTTGTCGCAGGGGAGCCAGCTGTGGGTACCCGTTCGCAGTCTCCATCTCGGATTTTACTTTTCCGTTTCTCTAATATCCAGTACACCATGCAATGTGTGTCTGTGCTCCTGGGGCAGATTACTAGGGCTGGTTATTTAGCAATCCTGAGCTTCCACTTCCTCCCCACTCTGAGTCTTTTTCTCTCGCAGGTCAGCTGGGGTGGGGGGAGTGCTCAGGTTCCTCCGGATCGCTACTTTGTACCTTACCATTTTCCGTGTGATGTTGGGTTCTTGCAGATGTAGTCTGGCTGGTGTGCTGTATCTTCTAGTCAATCTTTTAGGAATGGTTATATTTGCTGTATTTTCAAAATATATTTGGCTTTGGGAGGAGATTTCCACCACCCTACTCACGCCACCATGTTTTCCTTCCCTCCTCCATATAAATTGTAAGACAAGCTTGTTAAATTCCACAAAAACGTGCTAGGATTTTTATGAAAAATTCTCTGAATTTTAGTTTAGCTTGGGGAGAATCCATCTTTATGATACTGAGTCTTCCTATTCATTAACAGACTATTTCTCCTATTTGGGTCTTTAAAAAAAGTTTTTTAAAAAAGTAATGTAGTTTTTTTCTATGACTCTTTTACAAATCTTTTGCTAGGTCAAATTCTAGAATTTGTTGTTACTGTAAATAATATCTTAAAAATTTTAAATTTTATTCTTTTATACCAATGTTTAAGAATGTAATTTTAACAATCGATCTTGTATTCAGCATCCTTGCTAAACTGTATTATTAGTTTTAATAGTTTGACTAGAGTCTCTTGGATTTCTATGTAGCTACTTACATCATTTGAGGTTAATGATGATTTTGTTTCTCTTTATCCATTATATGTACCTTTTATTTCTTATGCTTTTCATTCTGTATGGTCTAGAATTTCAATATGATATTAAAGAGAAATAGTTATGGTAGTTATCCTTTCCTTCCAGATTTTAAAGAAAACCCTTCAAATATTCCATCTTTAATAATAATGTTTGCACTATTTTTTAATATACAACTTAATCAGGTCATGGAAGTTTCCTTGCATTTCTCGTTTACTAAGAGTTTTTATCATAAACAGTATTTACTAACATTTATTGGGTACAAACCAGGTGTTAGACATTGTTCTAAGCACTTAACTACCATATTATATGCTTATAACAAATCTTTGAGGTTATTATCCTTATTCCACCATGAATAAATAGTTACAGTAAAGTCACGTCAGTAATAAGTTCAAGTCCAGTAGTAGAACTAGAATTTGAACCCAGAAGGCTGGTTTAAGAACTCACAGTCTTAATCACTCTTCTGTATTGCTTCTTTTGATGAGTGCTGAATGTCCTCAGATGCTTTTTCTGCATTTGATTTGACCATATGGCTTTTCAACTAATTTGCTAATATGGTGTATTACATTAATTAATTTTTAAAATGTTACCTCATCTTTGAATTCCTGAGATAAATTCAACCTGATCATAATGTATCTTTCTTTTTAAAATAAAGTGATGGATTTAATTGGCTAATATTTTATTTAGCATTTTTATATATATGTTCAAAAATGAGATTAACTCACAATTTTCCTTTTTCTTGCTGGTTTTGGTACCCAGGTTATACTAGCTAAACTCATAAACGAGTTGAGGCATGCATTTGGTGACATTTTAGTCCTCATTATAAGGTTGACAAATATAGTTAGTATAACAGCTAGCACAGTAGTTAGACTCCTAGACAACCCAGTGAGGTTCCTGACATCTTATCATTTGGCTAAGCTGGGGACAAGGGTGCCCAGGGGCATCTGGACCACTTATTAGTGAATGGCAGCCTAGGATTGCCCAAACCGGCAGAAACAGCCTAATGTTTTCCTTCTCAAAGGTGCCTGAGCCTTAATCTGGTTTAAATAATGGTGGCTGTCTTTTACTCAACCATATTCACATCTAAACAGAATAAAAGTAGACATATTTTTACTAGTACTTTACAGCTTACAAAATACTTCAGTATTTCTTATCTCACTGAATTGATCTATCCTAGCAGCTTTTTAAGAGCCATTCTTTTTCTATTGTACAGACTATTCTCTATTTTACAGATTACACATAAGCAAAGACTACTCAACTAGGTTAAGCAGCTAGTAAGCGAACTGGGTTAAAAAATCAAATCTATTTTTTCTTCACTTCAATTACATCAAGAAAGTATTTTTTGTAGGAGAGATTCTAGCTCCTACAGTGACAATGATTAGCATCTTAGTTGTTACTGACAGTACCAAGAACGAAATAATGAATTTTCAAAATGGGTTGGATGAGCCTCTATTTCTGTTGAGAGTATAGACATGCACAATTTACTATGGACATGCCCAAGTGAATTTTAATTTATCTCCAGCTTTAGAGGTTTATCTATCTATCTATCTATCTATCTATCTATCTATCTATCTATCTATCTATATATTTTACTTTATTTTATTTTTATTTTTTTAATTCATTGTGTTATCATTAATCTATAATTACATGAAGAACATTATGTTTACTAGACTCTCCCCTTCACCAAGTCCCCCCCACAAATCCCATTACAGTCACTGTCCATTAGCATAGTAAGATGCTGCAGAATCACTACTTGTCTTCTCTGTGTCAATATATTTTTTAAACAAAAAGTCAACTGTATCTCTTCTAGTGGCCAGGCATTCTAAGCATTACATAGGGTTAGACAAAGCTGACATAAATAAATAGAGAAAAGTTTTAAATATGATTAATTATTAATAGTTCAAAAACACCTTACCATAATGTAGAGCTGTTTGACCTTCATTGTCCTAGAAGAGAAACAAATGATACATTTTAGAAGTCTAATTTATTGCAAAAGTATGAAAGTACATATGCTAAAGCAAATATATCTGATATACCAAAGTTTCATAGATTCATCAGATACAGGAACCCACAGTAACTTTTGAGCCTCACAGTACCTTTTGACCAAGCCCTCTATCTTGGAGAAGAGAAGAATGTTGAATGGTAATAGCTACAGTAGAGTGACAGGAAAAACAGATCTGAAGATATTAAACCAAAGAGAACCCTTTAAATATGGTAATTTGATTACCCAGTTAGTGGCAGAAAAAGTGATGCTGTATATCACTTATCTTGGCTAGTATTATAATGTTTTTTTCTAAGGTTATCCCCAAATCTATCTAAGAAGTCTGTGATTTCTAGTAAGAGTTAGTAGTTTTTTAATCCCTTTTCAAAGAGTCACAGATTCCAGGCTCATTGACATTAGGTTTTCTTAAAAAGATCAAATATAAAGAACTGTGATTTCAAAGCACACAAAGCCCTAAAAGTTGTTAGAAGGTCAAAAGTTTCCATAGATTACTCATAAAACTCCAACAGTTATGTTTTATTCTTTTAAAACTAAGATATTCTAACTATACATACTAATTACAGCATAAGTGAGTACCTTTTAGCAATGCTGCCTCTTAAATTGAGAGCAAGTGATCACATTCCATGGGCAACAAATAATCAGAATTAAGTACAGGTGAGAAGCAGAATTTAGTAATTTTGGTTTGTACTTAGTAATATGCATGAACATTATTATACCCCTGGTAATTAAGAATAAATGCTTAACCATTATGGTGAATAATTGGAAAAGGGTGGTATTATAACTCAAATCAACTATTCTTGGGCACACCATGTCTATCTTTCCCATTTCCTAAAAACTTAATTGTGGAGTTGGGTCCCAGAACTTTTTGGCTATGGTTCTGCTTAATAACCTTGGATGAAAAGCAAAAAGCTGCCACAGGGGACTTATTTTTTGGTCCAGAAGGTAGTAAGAAAAAAGTCTTTCCTTAGTGGCTTTTTAACACCTAGAGAAGCTTGGCATGGATGACAGCTGATGAGGGACAGGGAGACAACCTTGAGGCAAGACAGATTAATTAAACAGTTTTCCTACCAGGGAATGGGAGTTCTCACTGGATTGAGAGGTGAAGTGTGGGTGGGAGGGTGGGTGGAGATATGAAAGAAGCAATTCTGAGCGGCTCTGGAAAAAGGGTAGACTTGGCTGAGGTGTAACAGTAGCTAAGTTTGGGATGCCCTTTAAGCATCATAAAGATAATAAACTCTAAGGGGAGTAACAGATGGAAAACCCTTTGGTTTAAGAGATCATTTTTGCCTACTTCTTTCTTGTCTTGTCTGATGCAACCCCTGCTTGCTCCTGGCTCCCCTTTGCCTTGCCCTGCCCTTGAGGTTAAGGACAGGTAGGGGAAGGGAGCTAAGGCAGCTACAGTGAACAGGATCCAGCTGATGCGTACGCAGGGCAGCATGGCAATGGGAAGTTGTACTCCAGAGCATTCTGACTTGACTGGTTATAGCGAAGGGCAATTTTGAAAGCACTGTACTGCCCTCATGGTTTTGTACTCCTATCTACTTTGCCAGTTTCCAATGTTAATCAGTAAAGGCTATGTATATGTGTGCACGTGTGTGTGTGTATGTATACACGCAATGAATGGGTTAATAGATTCAGTTAGTTTAAATGTCTGGCAACAGAAAGCAATTTCAGAAAGGGTTTAATCTATTGCAATTTCAGGACTCTCCTTATGCATCCATCATGCAAGGTTTTATTTTCTACACTTATTCATCTTTAGTAAGTGTAGTTTTCTTGCTTCCTATGCATAACTTTGCTTAATCACTGTGTTCATATATACTCAAAAGTTCAGTTTCTTTCATTTCTATTGCTTATCTTCTTTCTTATCTTTTCTTATCACTAGGGAGGCAGACCATGATTAATTTCTTTCAGTCACTTTTACCAATGAATACTAAATCTGTGTCTCCAGCCCAACTGCCAATTAATTAAAATTATTTATTGAGCTCCTATTATGACCTTGTCACTGTTCTAGGCACTGGGAACACAGAGGTAAGAAAAGCAGAGAAGGTCCCTGATGTTATAAATTTTACATTCTAGTGGTAAGGGAAGCAAAAGTAAATAAACATGTTTAATAATAGGCAGTGATAAGTGCTTTGAAAACAAAAACAAGTCAGAGTAAGAGTCTAGAGAGATGTGAGGTGCTATTTTAGAGAGGACAGGGAAGACTCTGAGACAGTGTGTTTTCACAGAGAGCTGGGGAAGATTCTAGAATAACCATGTAACCCAAGCTGAGCAAATCAGTGCACCATCATCCTCTTGTCTGAAAGAAAGCATGCCATTCAGGCCTAGCTGATTAGAATTTTTCTCTTAGGATTTTAACAAATGGAGCTAGGGGATGATGTGTGTGTGTAGAAGTCTTTCCCTCTCTCATCAAAAGAAAATGGTATAGTGAAGACAGACAGACACAAAAGGACAAATATTGTATTATTACATTTATAAGAAGTACTTTGAGTAGTCAGACTCATGGAGACAGAAAGTAGAACAGTGGTTACCACAGGCTGGGGGTAGGGAGGAGTGGGGAGTTACTGTTTGATGGGTGTAGAATCTCAGTTTGGGATGGTGAAACAGTTCTGGAGATGGATGGTGGTGATGGTTGCACAACAGTGTGACCATACTTGTATAGTGACTGTAATGCCACTGAACTGTACACTTAAAATGGTTAATTTTATGTTATGTATATTTTACCACAATTTTGAAGAAAAACTATATACCTGGGCCGCAGTGATGAAGAAACCAGTTAGTCTTTGTCTTCATGGAGTTTACAATCTAGCTAATATACCACAAAAGAGAAAAACCTAAACAGCTTAACAGAGGATTGACTACAGTGTGATAAATTTATATGACAGATTAGTAGGTAACCACCAAAAATTATGCTAAAGATGAATATCTCTGTATATGAGAAGCTATTTCATGATAATAAAGTAGGTTATAAAACTATGTACAGTATGATCCCATTTTTGTTTTTAAAATGTTTTATAGAAAAAAATAAGGACAGATCAAAAGTGGTAAGAATTATCACAAGGGTAAGATTATGACTGAAATCTTTTTATATTTAATATTTGTATTTTATAAAAATCTGTAAAATATATTCATATTACTTTTCTAATATGAAAAAGGTACTGCTCAGAATCTGAATACCATCTATATGTTTACAAACATTTTCCAGTGATTACGATTATTATTAGGTCCTTCTAAGAATAACTGATCAAACCAAATTAAAATTATAGTTACTTATAATGGCTGCTTGCAATTACAAGCATGATAGGGTTACCTTTCCTGTCCCATCCGTTTCTTGTTTGCTATGTTCTTCAGATAGCCATGCCTAATTTGGGGCTTTTGAGTTCAGATGCTGTGGGCTGAAGTGTTCTAGTGTTTAATGTGAAATATTGTGATTTTCTGATCTTTCAACTTAGAGCATGTCTACCTAGAAATCAATTAGAGTAGGAACATGAACATAAGAACCATGACTCCAATCACAGAATTGATTGACAAGTGGGAAATAGAAAGTCAGCCAGGTTGTCTTCTAATTCTATTATCTTTTCTGTCTTCCAAGAGTACTGGAGAAAAGAAGCAGCCTTTAAAACAACATCAAGAATTTCCCTCAATTCCAAATTGTTCATATGTCTAACCACCTTGATATGTCTAAAGAATAGGTATTTGTATGAGACAAAGAAAGGATGATTATTTTAAATTAATAGCTAATCAAGTTGTAGTCCTTAGGGGCCCAAATGTAAATTCTTCTTTTATTCATCTTTTGTATGTCTAGCACATAATAAGCACTCAAGAAATGTTCACTGAACTTGATGATTATGACTTACTAATATAAAGCCTGTTGAGTTGGCAATCATTATAATAATTTTAAACCAACTACTCTACCATAATACTCTTATGGTTATGATATTTTAATAAAACACATTATCTTGTTTCTGCAAAATCTTCACTTCTGTTATTTCTCTTTGTGTTTCTAAGTGGAATTTTTATTAAAGAAAAAACATGACTGCATTTTTTTCTTGGTAAACTCAAAATAGAATATAAGTATCCAAACCTTAGTCTTTATAAACATTCTGTTTTAAAATATATTACAAAGAATAAATGGAATTGAATGTCAAGAATGAGTAAGTGAAAGCTTTTACTCATCTGGTTTACATCTTATATCAGCTAATTTTTAAAAATTTAAGTTGATTAAATTTTTTGGTTGTTTCATTTCAAATGACCACACCAGAAGAGGGTTGTTTGTCATGATTATTTATGCTCTTCCATCCTGTTTTAGCTTTAAAGAAATGTTCAAACTTAATAAATATGGAGTTGTTACAAACAGCAGTAAAAACAATTCCAATAAATTAAAACTGGTCATACATTTGAAATCTTTGTAAGGGATTATACATTAGGGTAAAATAAAAATACTCAGTTGAATTAAAAATATGCAAAATCACATAATAAAGTTAAAATGTAGAAAAATTCAACCAGGCTTAGAATCAAACCACAAAAGCATAGAAAGATGCAACCCTACACTGTACCTCCATATCCTTTGTTTCCAAATAAATAATAGAAATTAAAAAGGAACAGAAATGAATGATAAAATATAGGAAATTTAAAGACCAGACTGTCAAATAAGGAAAGAAAAATGTAGCCATGACCCCCGTAAGTGATTCTTCACCATTCCGTGTAAGGTGGTGGGGAATCGGGGAAGCTGCCCTCCTTCCGGCCTGTTCCTCTGTGCTGACTCTCGCAGGACTCTGACTAGTGCACCCACTACTCTGCAGCTGGGTTCAAAAGCAGCCACTCTTCTTTATAAAACTTTAAGTAGAACCTTGAGCTTTTGCAGTCCTTGCTTAAAACTTTCTCATCCCCCTTCACCTTTTACCTTGTATTATTTATGAATATGTCTGTGCTCTCCTGGTCTTT